CAAGCCATTGGTAAATTTTTGTTTAAATTGCAAGCTACTTGTGTTGTTTCTGAGTCAGTCTCAGGTCTTATAGAAGAAGCATCCTTAGACCAAGGACCATCCTCTGCTGTTCTCCTGATTTAAAGCTAAATCTTAAGAGGCTTAGCTTTGATATTTTTGATGTTTAAATATTTTTGTTTCCTTAACAAAGGCTGAAGCCTGAGAAAACTTGAATTGCCCACAAGAAATACCCCAACAGCCATCAAAACTGAAGCCGAACTTGAGTCCTTCCATAATGTGGTAATACATTTTAATCAGAAAACCCAAAAAATTCACAAAATTTATTTTTGTGTGTGTTGTTGACTGCAAGACAAAGGCTGTATTATAGTAATACTTGTAATCAGACCAATTGGAAGGGGTTTTTTCCCCCTTGTGTTCTTTTAGCTCCAAGTTTGTTCTGCATTTTTGGTATAACCATAATATGGCTTCTGGACTTTGTCTTAAGGTCAGTGGGGCTAACTCTGCATTTCTCCAAAGCAGAAGCTTTGACCCCAAAAGGTGATAAATGCCAAATCTTAAAAGAGAGCCCACAAATTATATTTGACACATGTATTGTAAAGTAGCATAAAAAACCAATGACTATAAATACAGCTGCCAAAGAGACTTGTAAGTGATAAGGTAAGGCGATTGTAGCAAACCTCAGAAACAGCTTAAAAAGGTAAAAGCAAGTTGTTCCAAAATGCAATTGTTCTCATCTTTTAAAACAATTGAGTTTGGAATAACTTGCATTACCTTTTTGAGCTGTTATTTGTGGTTTGCTACAGTCTCCTTACTTTTATCACTTTGCTGGGGTAAACTGAGAGCTCTTGGCATTTTATTTATTTATTGGATTTATATCCACCATTCTCCCAAAATGGGATGGATACAAAGTGGTATGACCAGCTGAAAGACATCGTATGCAACTCAGCCATTTCCTTCTAATTATTTTTCCTTTTCTATTTTCATGCACACACAAAGACACTGGAAATGGGGAGTACAGCAAGGTGACAAACTAGAAACAACAGTACCTGGCCTCCCATAATATTTTATGAATGGAGTAATTGCCTTTTTAAGGGCTAAAATTCTCAAGAGTCCTCCATCCAGCTTTGGGAGATAATGACGGCCGTCCGACGTCCGCTCAGCGTAGCATAAATATCTGCAAGCGGAGCTAAGCTGCACCAGCATTGTGCAACCCCAGAGCAGAATAGCGCATTGCCCAACGCATGTCAATGACTGGGTGCCATTGCAAAAGTCTTTAAGGTGCAATACAAAACCACAATGTTTGACCACAATGCACAAGACTGCTGTATGTGCCTTCCACTTCCATTGCTGTTCAGCAGCCTATGTCTGCTGCACTATGGTGGATAATTCGGCTGGTTTTGTAGCATGACTTATGCATCTCAGCAAGAGAAGGACAGCCATAGTGTGTCTGGGAGGAGGAGGAGGAAGAGGAGGAAGGATTCCAAGTGTTGTGTTTTTCTGGAAACTGAAACTGGCCAGAGTTGAATTTGCAACTTGCAAGAGAGCCGAATGGGCAGGCTCACCAAGGAATGGAGGCTTATAGCATTCAAATTTCTGATAAAGTTTTTAGAAGGGTGATATAAAATCAGATTGTTTAAACTGGTTTTATTGTAAGCCACCCAGTGATCTTAGAATATAAGATGGGATATACAGATTTGTATTGAGACACTGGATAAATAAACAAGATAGATATGCTGTGGCATCTATTTGCCAGCCTCACAATCCATGACTCTGGGACTGTCTCTTTTGATAATG